ACAGCCATCCATGTCTACAATGCGAGGTAGGTCTACATGAAGTCCGGTGCTCTAATCGACAGTTTAAAACGAGTTAAGAGAACGCCGCCCCGTCGCCGCGCGCGACAGAGCGACAAACTTACGATTCTCTTGCCCGTCGCCCCTTTGCAGATGCACGTATAGTTGTTCGTCGCAGTCAGTCGGGACGATGTTAGGATGGAATGAGCCGGACAGCGTTATCAGCTCGTGACCAGTTTAGTAAGAAAACAACCACTGGTGAAAGCGGCAGTAGTGAGTTTATCCATTCCTTTTTGACGCAGCTCCAACCAACTGCGACGATTTTAAAGACAGCGCCCGCGATGGACTTTGGCAGGTTTCAGGGGTCACATTTGCTAGAACAGGTGGCCAATGAAGCACTAATCAAAAAAAGCAGGAAAAAGGTGTGGAAGAGCGTGAAATAAGACCCTATGAAATTTAAGGCATGTGGACGAGTTTCGCAAACTTCTGGTGAGTTCTCCAATACACGTCGCCGCCTCGGAACTCTAGAAATTCAGCGTATATCAATGCCAGCAAGCATTGATAACTGTCAACCAGTCGGGGCGGGATTAACAGGACAGGAGGCGTCAGCCCGGCTCTGTTGACTCCGCCCTCGTCAACCAATCGATTTCGAGCCGCAAGAGTGGGATTTCTGCTGTGATTGCGGACTCCGCGTTCGTTTTCAATGGAGGGTTTTTTCACTTTGGTTGATCGCGGACGCTGCCTTTAAGTGTAAAGTGATTTGAAGCAGTTGGCAACGATAAGTCTCCAAGGCGTATAGTACTAATCCCCTTGCGGGACTGGATTCGGCGTCCCAGAGCAAGCGCTGCGTGATGCCTTCCCAAGGAATGTTTCTTTTGGCGTCCTAACAAGCTGCAACATACCCACCCGAACGTCCACCGCGCCCGCACACCCACAAATGTCCGACCGATCTTGATGCTAGAATCGCTTCATTTGCGAAGTACAACATGAGGCGAAGGAATTGTTATGAAGCGGCTGCGGTGCTGCATAGACACATGAGTACATACATGCACATGTATCCGCCGTAGCGGATAGAACGATTTCAACGGGAACTCGTCCGGAATTTCTTTCCGAGTCGTGTAACAAAGGCTTTCTTTGTAGGTGTTTGACCGTTTCACTTTGCTTTCCCGCCTTTTTCCCCACTATACAGCACCCTGCCACCATTTTAAACAGGGTACAAAATTATCGTGCCAACTGCCTTTAATCCAACTGCAGCGGTAAGCCGAGCAGCAGGTTGAAAGACGACGTTCTCCATTACGAGGAGCTCGGATCTCCCGACAAGTAATCCCTTCTGGCTCTATCTAACTATAAGCCCTTACGTCGCGTTATCGAAGCCAATGTGTTCTCCTCCAGCCATCTTCCGGTATTCTTGCAAAGCAAAATCGAAACGATCCGCCATGGTCATGTTTCTCTTCAACAGCGATGTGACGATTATCGCACCTGCATTGATCATCGGGTTGTGAGGCTTTCCTGGAATCTCAAAGGTGTCGTCCTGTAAACGAGATGAGGTGTTGTAGTACTAGTGAAGTCTCCAAAGGAGCCCATCTTCACAGCGCTTAAAGACAGCTCCCGCGATAAAAGTCTCATGGATAGCTGCTTTCCAATTATGAAACAGCAGCTGATAAGTAATCTCCCAAAGAAGAAAACAGGCAAGAAGCGTTCTCCAGAACAACATAAACAAAATCGCTCCCTCACAGTTACACCTCCCTGCGGTCTCTGTGCAGCCCCTAGCTCACAAGTCTCTCTATCACATCTCGCAGTAGTTGATATCATCCAGTGCAAAAGAAAGAATACAAAAAGAAAACAACAAAAACGCAGAGGAAAAACTCTGGGAAGGAAAAAGGAATTTTATCAACACGGTGTCTGAATTTGTGATTACGGTAGCGCACCTTTTGTGCGTCGTGGTTTTGCATCACGAAAATTGCGTCACTCGTGTTTTTTACGCGTTTCACCTCGCGAAATGGGTTGAATTGAATGTATATACCTCCAATGAGTAAACTGTAATGAAGGAGAGCAGAATTATCCAGGGGCATTAGCAATGCCCGCCGCCCCAACTAAGAACAAGTGAGTGGCCTCCGTCGGAGGACATCTAGCAAGTAAAGGCGGTCCGACTGAGGAGGAGTTAGAACTAGCACTTTGAGCGGCTATAGCAGCCTCCACGCTCACAATAGAGTCGCGAAAGGTGAACAGTCTTCTAGCTTGGAGGCTAGACTACTTGCACAGCAAAGGCGACCACGAGCCACTTTGATCGCGGGGGCTGTCTTTAAGCGCCTGGTGGAGCCTCACTTAAATCAACCGGACACTTCCTTACTACAGAACCGTTCGCATGGTGGGCGTTAGACTTGTTTTGGAGACGTGAGCCAGAAGATGCGGGTTGCCGCTATGCGACCAAAAACATTGCGTTTCTGATTGACTTGACCAATTCTGCTACATAACCCATGTGAACTAACTATTGAAAGCTGTATGCTCCGAAGTTGCTTCTGCCGCAACTCGAATCTCTCGCATCGCGTCTGTTTCATGATAAGAAATGCTAAAAGCGATTCACGCCGTTCTGCCTGGCCCTGACCAAGCATTAGGCTGCGTTCATGTTTTGCGTCAGCGTCCACCATCATTCCGTCGTCCGTCCGAGCCACCACTGACCAGCAGCGTCTCAAGGGCTAGGGTAGTTATCGATCTAGTGTCTCCCAGCGTTTACCAGTGTCCACCAGCGACCAGCAGCAGATTGCTGGTAGAGAGTACGGGGCGGTAGGAGAGTACCAGCTATCACCACCTCGTATTCTCCACACTGTACCAGCTGTCTGCTATTCTGCTATCGCGCCTTATTCTCTAGCAAGAGTTTGCCATCCTCCTATCTTCCCATACCCTACCAGCTGTCTGTTACCCTCCTATCGCGCCATACTCTCTACCAGCAGTGTGCCATCCTCCTATCTCCCCATACTTTACCAGCTATCTGATAACCTCTTATCGCACCATACTTTCCACTCCGCTGCTTCGGAACCCTGGTGGACACTGCCGCAAGGTATGAACGCAGCCTCATCTGGCCATGGCACCGCCAAATATACAGACCATTTCCATCGAGACAGATTTCATCAAAAATCCGGCCACTTGGTTCATGCCCAACATACGAATGCACCACATCTGGACCCAAATCCGAAGCGACGATCGAATAGGTGAATGCCTGAATACACCATTTCACCATCACCGATTGTCGATTAGAAAAAGAAATCACTCACCTTTGATACGCTTTGGAGACAAAATTTCTTTTTGTAATCGCCAAGGGAGACCCTTTGACCATCGATTGTGCATATCGAACTCCCAGAGATGGGGTTTTGTCTACTAACAAGCGAACTGTAAGTCAGATACCGTGCCCACTGAGGCGTTTTTGCATAAAAAATATCCAGGGAGACATAAGATATATAGAAGAAGATACAGACACTGTCAAGTTTGCTAAGGACGAAGGGGAGTCCCTACGTCTACACTGGTGAGTGGTCCGACGGCTGCGTGGAAAGGGGAAGGGGGAGCGGGCAATCATCATCACTTGCTCTCTGACATCGACTCTGCCCGACACACCACACTCCAGCGCGCTATCTACTACTCACTCTTCCGTCTGGACTCTCACCGATCGACAATGGCTGACGCGTTCAATCAGCTTAAATTTCAAGGCACACATCGTTGTTGGGGAGTCCTCAAAGGGGGGTCGTATTTGGTCGCCAGGAGAGGGGGATCTTATTTGAGCCGGGAATTATTTATTTTGATGGTTGATTTCTCGTTCACGATCTTTGTGAAGGCCGGGGGGGGGTCGCTACGTGATCATTGTGCGAGGGGCGGGGGTCGGATTTACGTCTTTTCCTCCCCCCCCTCGACGGCTCGATTCGATGAGGGGGAACAGAGAGCCGGAGGGTGGGGGTCGTACAAGTCCCTCCCAAAAAGAAGGGGGGGGGGTCGTACAGACTCGACCAAATTCCCCAACCAATGATGTGCCCTGCTGATTTCTGCTGTATTCCGCTTCTAAACAGTGAAATCATTTCACGTTCAGCAGCAATAAGAAAAAGCAGGTCAGTATTTCTAGAACAAGATTTTTTTCCGATTAATGGTTTAATTAATTATATCGGAGGTCTTATGCTTAGTTCCTCCTGTTGAGCACATCGCGGACGAAATCTTCCCACTATTGCCGGTCTTTCGCGGTTTTCTCGGCCTGGTCCCTAGAAGCATTCATGATTCGCAAGTCATTTTCGAATGTACGTCTCCACGTGTTTCTGGGACGGCCTCGTGCTCGCTTGGCTCCTGGAGGAATCCAGAACATGGCCACTCTTGGGATTCGATGTTGTGGCATGCGCAATATGTGGCCAGCCAGTCGAAGCCTACGCCGTGCCACAATCACGTGAAGGCTGCTCATACCGCACCGTCGTAGAACTTCTTCATTCGTGACCCGGTCCATGTATCGTATCTTCATGATTCGCCGAAGACATCGCTGGTGGAAGGCGTTCATTTTTTGGCGAGCTTGGCAGACACTTTCCATGTTTCGCTTGCATAAAGTGCCGTGGGAATGATGGTGGATGAGTACAACTTCATTTAAACCCATTGCGTACTGCGTGCTGCACCATGTGCAGCACGCACGTTTACTCTGTATGGCCGCGTGCTGCACATAGGTGAAGCACGCTCCGTTTGAACTTGTTCATTATTGCTAGATATTCAGAAATGTGGGCATATTTTTCAGGTATCCTGGAAAGAAATATGTATGAGGGAAATCGCGAGCTCAAAGTAGACCTAAGTTATTGACATTTTTTGTGAAATATTTCAGGTCCTCAATTCTTTGTTTATTTCTCAGTAATCAATAAAACCGAAACTCTTGTTCTGATATGGCTGAGAATCCACAAAACAGTAAACTGAATACTTCCTAAACAGATAGCCCCATTTAACAATTCTTCTTGTGTTTATCAACCTTTTGACTACTGCCGCATTTTTTCGGCTCTTAGCTTTTATCACCTAACAGTTTTCAATGTAATTTATCATATCTATGCAAATAAATGTAATGTGTAATGTTACCCATATACAATGTTTTATATCATATGTATGCAATTTGAATCTAATTTGTTTATACTCACGCGCCACAAGTCGCGGCCATGAAAAGGCGTCGGCCACAGGTGCCGGTTTGCAGGAGAACGCCGCGGTACGCAATGAGTTAAGGATACGCGAGATAGAAGACGTTTTCCATACGGGCAGAAGTCGTATGAACGCAGCAGCTGCTTTTGCAAGCCGGGAATGGACATCCGTTTCAGCATCACTATTGTGCGTAACCGACACTTACCGATACAGGTATAGAATAAATATGTCGCAATTCTGCTAGCGACGTACTGTCAACGTTTACCATCCTCCGCCTGTACCGTTAAGAGGTCTACAATTCCATGACGTTTCGCCTCGATTTAGCATTCTTCGACTTTATGTCATCGGAGGAGATGAAGGAAAAAATTAGAGGAAAGGCGAATACAATGAGAAGAACAAAGTTCAGGCAGAGAGATGAGTCGATGCTGAAATGCTATTCAAAATAAAACTTGCGCTAGTAAAGTAATCCTGCCTTATCTTAAATTAAGCTGGCGAAGAGGAATTCAGCTTTTAATTACAGATGGAGTAGAGCAGAAAATTAGCGTGACTGGAGGGTCGGCAATTACCGATGCGAGAGTCTAGACGGAAGAGTGAGTAGATTGCGCGCCGGCGTGCGTATCAGCGCGGAGTAGATGTCAGAGAGCGCTGAGGCACGCATTCCACCGAAACGTAGCGCGGAGCGCTCGTCAATGGTGCACTAGGAAGCACCGCTGTTGTTCCGAGAGAGAACGTACGACTTATAAAGAAAGGTTGGCCACGTTCATATTTGGCTGCCTGGCGATCGCATTAAATTCTTAAAATCGAAAAATCTGGCAACCACCATGGGGCGGCCGGGTGTGAACGTGCGAGCAATGTAAGGGCATTCGGAGTCGGGTGGCAGAATTCGTGGAACGTGCGAGGGTTGCGTGGTTTTCACGGGTCGGGGGGGTCGCGTTCGAAAGTCGACGGAGGGGATATCGTTTGAGTGATGGTGAGTAGGAGAACGATCCTAGAATTGTACTCACAGTTACAGGGGGGGGTCGGCGGGGAGGGGGCCGGGCGGGGCGGTGTAGACGTGGCAGAGTTGAGGTGTTCATCAAAGTATCTCCGTATGTCGTTCGGGGCAGAAGTCTCGTGGCCAATGTATGAGTTATATCTGAGCGACGGGAGTGAGTTGAAAGTCGAATGGTAGAGATTGGGTAAAGGGCGACACACCTGAGTATGAGTGATGTGGATTTTGGAGGTCAGTCCGTGAGGACTGGGGAGATTGTGATGCTCGGAGAAGGGGTGTGACGCGGTCGTACATGAATCTCGGACCGCGTGGTGGCCGGTCTCACGAGAGTCTTCAAATTTTCTTGTATTCGAGTCATCATTTCCTTCAGTCGTGGATCCTTTTCCCGCAAACCGAACGATTTCAGGACCTAGAAACTACGAGAATTAAGGGTCGTCTGCCGTTTGGAATTGGCCCGCGAATGAGAATGAGAGTGGGCCTATTACCTTCAACAGTTTTATAATACTGGCATGATCTCCGTCTGGGGCTTTGAAAAAATCGAAAATTAAATTGGCAGACGAGGCCGGTTGAAGCATTTCAAAGCTTTTGTTCAATCCATCAGCCCGTCTATCAACATCTATTCGGCGTCGACGAGGTTTTCTTTCGTGTTCGAGGAATCCTTCTACCGATGGTAAGAACACCTCGAATACAAAACGGATGAAGATGTTACGCCATTGATCAATCCGTTTTAGAAGCGGCAGCCCAGTCTTCGCCATTGATCAATCCGTTTGTAAAATGCAGAATGCAGAATGCACACATTCTACTTCCATTCAGAACAGTAGTGGCTTATTGAATGCGATGTGGCCTATTGCGGGGGCCATGTACAAGTCAGTGTTTTATCCTCCCAGACGAATCTGGTACCAATTTACCGTCCCCGGAGGGTAGAAGGCTTGGTTGGCCTGGGCGGGAGTCGACCGGGATTGAACCCAGGACCGCGCGAGTGGTGAGCGCGCCACTTGTCACTACACCACCTCCTGCCCATGCTTTGAATATTGAACAAATAAGAAAAAAATCCTGAATAAAGGAGCAACGTGCTGATGGGCGAATTTTTCTGCAGAATTTCGTGTGGCGCTCTCAGAGCCGAATGTATGACTCACAATCATTAGTGACTATTGGCACCGTTTACCGTAGTGGCTAATGGTACCGTTTACAATGCGTACGGTCCGCGGTTGAATAATGAATAGAGCCCAAACCAGGCCCACATAGGTTTCTATCGGATTAAGAGCTCTCCTCAACCAGACATGCTCTAGGGTCCAGAGGTATTCCCATCATCTACTGGCCCAGCAATTGAAGGGAGAATGCAGAGGTGAAGGGAACAGAGATGGAGGGAAGAAAAAGGGGGAAGGTAGAAAAAGGAAAGGAGAAGGGAAGTATCTTGGACGTCTTCCATCATCCGATAGTTGGGTAATGTAAGGTATTAGGTTGTTCAGAAAGGAATGCGCGTTTGGTAAAAAACATAATCTCCATTACTAGCAATGACTTGTTGCCAACTGTACGCAAAAACTTCGCCAAAAGAGCCTCTTTCACTACTTTTCCCCTCGGGTGTGTCGTTAGGTCCGCCGGAGAGGAAATGTAGGTCAAAAGAGCCTCTTTTTGCCAGTTTTCTCGCCGAGTGTGTCGCTAGGTCCGCCCGCTGCCCCTGTGAGCCGAGTGGGTCATTAGGTCCACCCAAGTGCGTCGTTAGGACTTGCTTGAAGTCTTACCACATACAAGCTCGCATTCGAAATTTTTGGTCGAGCATTTTCTAAACTTTTTTTCTCTAAAAAAACAAGGTAGACATAGAAAAAATATATCAAAAGAAGCGAAATAAACAGACAAAGTCAACGCACATTCCTTTTCGAACAACTTAATAAAATAAAGGTAAAAATGCCAAAGTTTGCAGTAGCTTTTCCTTTTACTAACCACACGATATCGAGATGCTACTGCGATTGTAAGTGTAACTACGATCTTGACGTTTCCAAGCGAATATTCAGATACATCGTCGTTGTGGGATCCAAAACGGGGTAGGGGGTGATTTGGTCGCTGGCTAAAAGAGTACACGAGTTCACCCTGGCGTCCCCTTCCGTCAAATGCGTGCCCACTGAGCAAGTTGCGCAGCATCCCACTAGTCCTGGTGGTTGATGCAAGGCGTCCACCTTCCCCCGCCCCCTCCCGCCCCACTGCCACTCCCCACAAGAAGGTAGTTGGGACCAGCGCACCTGAAGCATCCGACACGGAACAGCCGTTCGCAAGTATCCCGCCTTCCTAAAAACCAAGCAGCAGAGAAAGATAGTGCAAAATGACAAAAGGATAAGACCATTTTTACCCTCAGCTTCGCAGAAGGGTAGAGAAACCCACGAAGGATTGGATGTATATCGGATAACGACGCCACCCAACTCGAGAATCGAGCATCTCATCTGCGCAATGCCAATTTATCAAAGACCAATTGAAGACTTCAATTCTTTTTCACGGACTTTCAATAGGGCGCGGGTTTCCAGGTTCACGAAAAAAGGAATAATGTGGTAGTAGACTATAATAAGAATATCAACTAACATGTCTTTTCGCATCATTATTTCGATATCTCTGATGGTTGGAACCGTTCGAGTCGATCATTTGACGATTAATTCTGCAGATAGGACTTTACAAACGAAACAAATGGACAGATGGAGCGTTCGAGAAACAATACAGACGGACTGCCGCCGGCCCCCAATAGGTAGCGCTCTTGTTACAAGTAATTGAAGACGGGTGGCCAGTTAGATCAAAACATGAAACATCTATCAGGGACGAGAACGTGATCTGATGCTGTCGACACGGCTCACCGAGGACATTTCCCAGACGAGAAAACAACTATAAAACGCCCACCGGGACACTACGACAAGGTCATAAATGCGGCTGTTGTTACGCTGTTTTCTTGCCGTCAACCCCAAGCCGACCAGCTGCCTGACGAACCTCTATAATGATGGACCAATTGTTCAGCAAAAAAGATTCATTTATAGTCAAGTGAATCAAATAGTTTCATGGTACAGACAATTTCAACATCTGAAAATTTTCCACAGGAAATCACCCGACTCATACGAGAAGCTCTCAGAATGCATGCACATTACCTATAATGTGTGAGCGAAAATTCTACTGGAGACATATTAACCGGTATAATCGAAAAATTAAATGATTCGATATCCTATAGAGATAATTTTGAATTAATCTATGGCATTAGAAATCAATCGATTAAACGAATGAGTATGACCCGATCATGCACAATTTTCGTCGGCTTCGGAAAGTCGCTGAAGTTTGCTGGATGGTAGATATCGTCGATGACCATTACATGCTGAAAAGCACGCGTCCATTACCAATACCGGCTGAAACAGTCTACATGAACATAAAACTGACAACGATACCTCGAGAACTTCTCCACACGGTATAATTCATATTTTTATCCCGGAAGGAGAGGCTGAGGGGTGTAGTGACAAGCGGCGCGCTTACCACTCGCGCGGTCCTGGGTTCGAATCCCGGGTCGACTCCCGCCCAGGCCAACCAAGCCTTCTACCCTCCGGGGACGGTAAATTGGTACCAGATTCGTCTGGGAGGATAAAACACTGACTTGTACATCGGCTGGCCACCGCAAGTCATTGTATAGGCCACATCGCATTCAATAAGCCACTACGATTCTGAATGGAAGTAGAATGCGTGCCGCATCCCACAAAGGGATTGATTAACGGCGGAGTTTATCCTTTATTATTCATGAGGGAAATCTACTGTATAGGGGCTACTAGATAGAGGCGTCACGAAGGAATGCTGCCATTAGTTTGCCCCCTCGGAAGGATAAAGGATAGCGTTCCTTGTTGATCAATCCCTTTGGGATGCGCCACGCATTCTACGTTCAATCAGAATTATGTAAACATTTTCGATGCCGCTTGGGCCATAAAATGACATGTAGGACTGACCGATGTTCAAGTTCCAAACGAGTTTGGTAACAATTAACTTGTCCTGAAGGGCAGAAGGCTTGATTACCTGTGCGGGAACCCACTCAGACTCTCGGACAGCGCGCGTGGTAAGCCGCACCCGTCACTTTACCGCCTCATCTTTCCTCCAATCGTTCAGAAAGCTCGTCCCTAAAGGAGCCTGCTAGATTGAGGCAGTGCAGGTACCTAGTGACCTTTAAGGTGGGAGAGTATTCAAAGGAATACTTCTGCAAAACTGGGAACTCCGCATTGGAAATAAAGTTCTTGCCTAACAAGGGAGGTCTTTCAGGTCGTGGCGCGCTTTTTGGAAATGGTTTGTTGCTTGTTGTAGGGGTCCATACACAAAAATGGGTTTCATTTTTGCTATGCGTTTC